CAATAGCATGCAAACACACACACTTCTTGAGCCACAGTAGAGCAGAATACATGTTCAGTTTCAACAGGTTCCGTGTACGTGTACCCAGGGTTGTTGTGTTATCCCCCTATAAAGTATTGTACATGTATGTATGGTTTACAAGGCGTTGGGCCTAGCGTCTGCGCACTGACCCCATTATGTAACCCTTATGTAGCCGCAGTGCCGTTTCAGCTTGCATTTCTTTTCCCTTCTAGTCTCCATTGTTTTTGAACTGGTTTTGCCCAGTTCCTTGCAGTAACCCTGAGAGCCCTAAGTCAGGGAGCCCTCGGAATTCAGACCCCAAGCTCAGAATCCGAAACCTACGTAGGCGAAGAACAAGTCATCTGTAGCACATCAACTCAACTATATACGAGTTGGTTTTACAACTGCATCACTTACCTGATCTTACCTGTCTGGTGTTGAGGAACCTTACACCCCTGACCCAGAGCCCCAAGACCCTCAACCCCCGTCACAACACGAGGCACGTGTACTGGTCGAACATCGTGTCCGCTGGCACAGCAAAAGAGTTCGTGCCAACTGGCACGGTGCCTTGGGTAAGCATTGAAAGGGTCTAGGGTTTGGCGTCCATGTTTCAGTGTCGTGTTGTAAGCGGAACAGGGATTCAGAACTGTGAGCTAGCCAAATCAAGCTTTCCAGGTCAGGTCACTAGGCCTGAATCCTACCCGAACTCCAAACCCTAATCCGAAACCCAATCTCCCCTAAACCCCAAACCCAAGACCCTAAACCCTCACTCTGGCACTCAAGCCACCGAAGGCAGTTGCAGATCTTCCGCCGCCAGTGGCGCTGGTTGCCATGTACACGACGTAATCCTGCCAGAAAATTGATGGGGGCTGGGGTCCCGTTTGGGGGGTCCCCATAATTAGGACTATTGTATCTATATTGGGATTCCCCAATTTATGCAAATTACCAGACAGTGGAGCGTGTCAAGTTCCAGCTTTGCACAGGCGCCCAATAGCGGATTCCTTTTTCGTGGCTCCTGTAAAGGGGATGTTGTGATGCTGCGGGCATAATGACCGAGGCTTGGCAATCATCCATTTGGTAGCTTCCATAAGTAGAACCTAATATAGACCCCGAAAACTGAAATCCCTCTCGCAAGAATCCACAACCGTGAGGTGATTTCGCAGCTTGGGATTAAACATACGGGATGAGGTGTCAAGAGTCAACTGGTTGGAGTTTCTGGCAGAATCTTTCGTCTTTCTCTTGTTTTAGACGTGTTTGAAGTTGCAATGCCTTGCGCATTTGGGCAATACAAGATCTGCTGATTCCTTTTCTCCTTGTAGGGGACTGTTGATTGAGGATCCCTGGTTGAACTATTCAGGGCTGAGTTTCAGGCAGGTGCTTTGACCGCGCAAGGCACATAAAGCCCAACATACTGCTGATACTAAAAGCCCTGTATGACCCATAGTACCAGAATTCCCAAGGTTTAGAGTACCTAGGGTCATGCCGGTTTTTAGTATCCACCGTATTATCGAGAGCTCCACGCGTGTATTTCGCAAATTGTACTCTGACAAACAAAGCAAACTCCCTTGTGTATCCCCCTGAAAGCAGCAGTAGTCTCCTTGAGCCTTGAGAAAATCCCCTATGCCCTGAATTGTCTGAAGCTATAGTCCCCAAAACTTTGAGGCCGTAAAGTCTTGATCGCCTGGTTGTAGTTCACGTCGAAGGGAGGACCCCAACTGAGAGTGCCTGGGCCCCATGTTAGCGGCGATGTGGAAGCTTCTTTACACTGGCAGACTTTAAGTATGCTGGAAATATGTTGTTTTTTTTTGGCGAGCTCTACCTTCAAGGACTTCCTGGGAAGTACTTATAGAGGCATCCATGTTTTTAGGTGGATGCTGTTGGCAGAACACTTGCTCTGACTGAGGTTCCAGGTAGACTTTGACGGTCAGGGGCTTTGTGACGTAGTGCTTCGGGCAGACTGCCTACATGCAGCTCCGCAAACGTCTTCAAACCAGGTTGCATACTTAGCCTTCAGCCCTGAACCCTGAACTCTAAAATGAACAGCTTTGTTCACCCAAAGCCTAAACTGAAGGACCTACGCTTTCCAAACAACCCCCGGAAACTCATTGAGCCAAGCTCAGGACCAAAAAATATTCTTTTCGCCATGGCGCCGCCAATCTCCAGCCGATCCAGGTCCCGATCAGGGAAAGACACAAAGCCCACGGACGAAATCCTGAATTCAAGCCCCCGGAAGCCAAAAAAAGAAACCGAATTGATGTAGGATTCAGGGGGGCTGACGGTATCTCAGGTTGCTATACAGTGATGGTTATGGAACTTCACTGCAGCAATGCCAAGGTAGCATTTGGACACCTAGAGAGGGTAAGACCCTAGGCACCATGCATTTGATAGTTTGGAACCTACGGTAACTGAATGCGCCTATGGTAGTCTGGGGAAGGTGTCTCAAACTAAGCACAAATTAATTCAAAGCCCCAAACACACCAAAAAGCTTTCTTAAGTATAGGGTTTCAAGAGATCCGTTCCATGATCCCTTCTCGAGTATGTCTGAACTGGCGAATTCCTAAACCTACAAATCCAGCACTTGGGGAGGACCATCTCAATGGGACCATATCTTCCAATCTGGTCTTCATCGATGCAAGGCCCACAGTCGTCAACCCAAGCGCACGGTCTTGGGAACCCCCCTGCTTCGCTACCCCTCCGGCCTGGTTGCGCTGTGGTCTACTACCGAATGGGCGTCGATCGCCAAGTGTATTGGTAAGCAACAGAACAGATACATTTCAGAATCACACCTTTGAATACCAAAGTGGGAAGAGGTAGAATTCACCAGACTTATTGACATCATCTCCTTGTATAACCAACTTGCAGCCCTTCAAGAACACGCACTGATTTGTGGTAATCTCAATGGGCTGAGCAGGAGCCTCAATTGAACAAGGCATGGGGATTTCGCCAGGTAGATTCATGCTCAGAACCGCGATGACATGCAAACCTCATTGGCCCCTCAATTTTCACAAGCTGAACCACATCCCTGATATCCTGCACACTTAGACTAACACAACCATAATCCTTTTCCTTTACTGTTGGGAGGAACACAGGCCAGTCGAGAAGCGTCTCCGCAATGGCAATGGAGGTTGGCGTCTGCTGCTCGTTGCCAAACGCGGTGATGAATATTCCGATGAAGCTCATGCCAGTGATCTGCGGACGCCATGGGTGTATAGCAGCGAGATGAAGTTGCAAAGGACTTCTAGAAAGCTACTACCGATTTCTGAAGTCATGACTTTCATGTTGGCATGGCAAGTTTAGCTTTGTCATGCCTCAAAGCTTCAAGACATCTTCATCAGATTTTAGCAGCCTTTGTGTTGTTTGATAATCAAGCACCACAAAGGCAAATGAAGATGTCTTGATAGGGTCTAGGGGCTTATCAGAGCCTTGGGTCTTTTTGCTGATCATGACACTGCCTGCAAAAATGTCAGGGGACAGGATTGGAGGCCTACCGGCGGGAGTGTGGCTCAGAATCCGCGACGGAGCGGCCACAAACACCGGAGATACTGCCTTGTATAGGATCTCAGTTTTGCGATGGTAGAGCTTAAGCCGCGCCAACAGAGGCACCTAAAATCTAAGACAAGTGCCCCCAGCCACTCTAGGCAACATTTGGTGATGACCTTCTCTCAGGAATACTACCATTTGAAGCTACCGACCAGGGGAGCAGCTTACTAAGTCGCCAACGTTCGTATTCTCCGGGAAATTCACTTGCAGATCTCCTGGCACGAGATTACAACGGGACTCGAGAAAACATTATCTCGAAAAGGATAAGGTAGCCTTACACTATACCAGGAACTATCTTGCCAGTATGTAAACCACTACTCATTGCACAGTTTAGGGCCATCTTAATGGGTTCAAGCATACTCAATTGTGCGGGTGCAGGCTTGTGACATGTCAAAACTACAGTAACTACAGTCGTCGTACCATCGTATTGCAGTCTTCCACTGTTTCTGCTCATGTGGTTACAATGCCTACTATCCTGTGTCGCAGCTTGTCACGACCATGACTGTATGGGCAAAATGTTCCAAGTCACCTTGATCAAAATCGCGTTAGAAGTATGCTATTGGCTGATCGGCTCGGCATGTCCTGGGGGCTTGTCTGTGTCCAGTTGGAATTTAGACGTGCCAGCCCGGTCGTTCTGGAAGTAGACGCGATACCTTAGGGCTGCAAGGATCCTTGGGTTAGGGTTCGAGTTTAAATCTTTACGCAATAACTCGTCCCTAGCTTGGGGCCTTGATGTGTTAGGATTTTGCGGTGCAGGGCTCGTAGAAGTTTTACGATATACAGTGAAGGGATCCACAGGTTGTCTGTCGTTATTCTCGGTACGCTTGAAGCGCTAGATCTTCCACTCTGGGCTCTAGAGGAGATAGATAATGTCGTCGACCCCCCAAACCAAACATGGAACCCGAAGAGGGGCGTGCCACGGACAACTTCGGTGTGGCCAACATGTGATTCCATATATGCAGAGGGAGGGATCTTTGGCTTGAAGAAAGATGTCATCCCGAACCCTGCGCACCTCCTATCCCTCATGGCATGGTGGGACCTGAATGAATGAAGCGCGCGCATCAGCGGTCCCTCATTTTGACGTCCGCGCTCTCTGACAAATTCAGGGGAAGCAGGGTAAAATGGAGCAACCGTAAAGCTATAACCCGAGTCCCGAGAAATAAGCCATGATTTTCCAAAAGCAGAAAATCCACATGAAGGAGAACCTAACGATGAGCTCTGGATGAGGCCTGTGAACGGGGAATTCAGCCCCTTCTAACCAAGAAGCTCCTAAACCCTAAACCCTGTTCAAGTTTAGCTGACATTTTGAGAAAGCCTAGGGCAGGCTTTGCTGGATCGCCAGACTACACCACTGGGTTTAGGGTTTAGGGCAAGGAAGATACTCCAACAAACAGAAATAGAATTGTCTGCATGCAGTGATTCTGTATTTGGCAAGAGTTGCGTCAGAGGTACACTTCCGTGATTCAAGTATATAGTACAGTGAAGCTGCTTAAAACCCAAACATAATTGCCTGCAACAGAAGTTTAGCTCAGGATTCAACATGCGAGCGAGTTCTTCTTGACGTCCAGGCCCTCAACACCAAACCCGCAATGAAGAAACCTTTCTACGTATCTTCCGAGCAAACCCGATCTTTTCAAGAAAGCCTGAACCCCAAAACGCTCGACAATCCAACAGAACCCTGGTATCATCACCGTCCTATTTGAACCTAATCCCTAACAGCTCTTTTGCAACCCTAGAGAACCCCTACAAACCTCGGCATATCATGGATATTCTAGGGGTACATGGATATTTTGTAGGGATATTAGACGGATACATAGAACGCTCCTCCGATGCAAAGCTGCTTGTCCACAATGCGTTCGTCTGGCGGGGGATCCCAGGCGATCTCACCACCAACTTCGAACTCGTCAAGGTCCTGCTGGTGCCAGAAGGCGGTCAACAAACATAGCGGCCAAGTCAGCCTGTAAACAATGGCGTAGGGTATCATCGTTGCGCTTATGCGAGGTCCAGCCGTCTACATTCCGAATCCTTCCTATACCATGAACTTTGTGACGCGCGAGCCAGTCCCGGTCGAAGAGCGTGATGTTGTCCACTATGGCAACCTTTGGGGTACAGTTCAGGAGATACAAATATTGATGAGATAGCACTGCAACAGAAACTGGAAGCTGATACACATCACGATCGGTTCTGTTTCCATCTCGCTCTCCTCCATCTGTGGAAACAGAATGGAACGACTACATTGAACGCAAACTTCACAAAGGTCATTGCCCTGAGGCCGCGGGCTCATTTGGGGCTACCTCATTGATGCAGCTTGCAAATGCTTTGCGGTATGCCGCTGGACCTCCACTTGGAAGTCATTCCTAACACAGCACATGCCGTCTTTCCATCATGAGGTCCAAGCACACAAGGGGGAGTTCTCCCAAAATGTATGTTATGGCACCCAGAACCCTCAGGATACTCCGGAAATGTCGGATCTAGGACTGGCATCGAACTCCTCCACATTGAAATCAATTCTGCATCTTATTCATGAAAGTCCTGTTAACTCCTCTACTCTCGATACCATACAATCCCTGCGTAACCCTCATATCTAAGCCTAAAAAAATCCTGTAACCTTCCCGAAAACGGATCCCTGAACGAGGTTCGAATCCGGCAGCGTTGGCAGCGCTAGCCGTTGTATCCCAGAGCCCATATCCAACACTCCTTAAGTAATGCCAAGCCCCCAAGCCCTAAATCCTAAGCCCAAATCGCAAAGTACTGTGTCTTCCGCTCTCATCTCAAAAACTACATTCCCACAGCCCACAAAGGTGATCCTTGATTACTGCAAAGACCGCCGAGAAGGAAGCCGCAACTGTGAGGAACCTTACAACCGGAGTCTCAGAGTCGAGTTGATGCGCTCCAAACCCCAATCCCCTGCTGCAACTTCCTGGCTAAACTCCATACCATCCTTACCAAAGGTTGTCAAACTCAATAAATTTGCAAACCTTAAGCCCTCTACTTCGTTTACACGATTGTTTTGCATCCCCTACATATCTTTTACATCTTCTTTTCGCAATCAGGGCGTAGAACCCTGAAAGGCTAAACCTCCGTCCTAGACTCCAACCAAAACCCCCACGCACCCTAAACCCCCGATCACAAACCTGAAGCCCTCAAACCCTACCGCTTCCCACCTCCTAAACAAAACTCAACATCCAGGGAGCCGAATCAATGAGCTCCAGGGCAGCAGGAGTTGTCATCTCGGCCAACGTGGACTCTGAGTACCTTCAGGGGGAAAACAAGCTTTAATGGATTTTGGGAAATGCTTCAGGTGACTCCCCCACCCACTTAGTGACCACAAGGGGTACGGTAACTCTGGTCCATATTGCACAACTGTTCGCGGCTGGCGGACCCCCTGTGTACAACTAGACAACACACAAAGATATACCATGCAACTCAAGAACAATGACCGTGGCCTTCTACTATCTCTATTATAATCCAAAGGCTTCTGTCCTGATCAAAAATGTAAGTCAAGATTGCGCTGTGTTACAGCTGCGTTGCTTCGTGACTCAAGCGTTTTCGGGCAATGGTGGAAGAAAGGGGTTAATCAAGAGTTGTGTCACTGACATTCTTGAGTTTGCTGCGCAGTATGCACAGATGGCCATGTCACCAAACACGCCACCTGGTATGTCGATGAACTGCTGATACTGCTTCTTAGCAAGCACAACCCGCCTGGAACAATTGCACGTCCATACATACACACACAACCCTTGAGATAAATCCCGCCATAATCTCCAGACAACCAAACATGGGACGCACGCCATCTGCACACATAGCCTGCTGCAGCTAAGTCGCACCAGAAGGTGCGTATGGTTATCGAGCGGCGTATCCAACGGAATGAAGAACCTGAAAAGACCAGAAGACCAGAAAGGGCAACTCTTAATGGTAGTGATCACAGTAGTTCTAATTGTAATAGAATAGAAATAATAGTACCGCTGATAATATTCTTGGAAATAATGGTAGCAATACAGAACAGTAATAGTAACTATAGTAATAGCCATACTTAACATGGTAATACTACTACCAGTGATGCTTTAATCATCCCCGACTCCCGTAAATGGTCGGCGCATGTCAGTCTTTTCACGCCAGTGGAAAACATCTCTAGCAAGCCTCATGAAAACTCCTGCACTAAGTGACACCTCTCCTGGGCTTGGGGTCCTGCATGCATCTTGGGTTGAATAGTGGCAGTTTTTCATAATTTTATTCTGATGCCGTGGCTGCAGGTATGGCGTATGCCTGACAGGACTCAACCCAAATGAAGTGAGCAAACTTACTGCCACCCCTGTGCCTGCAGCTTACTGGAACAAAAGACAGGTCACAGCGGAGCGTCACAACCAGAAACCCGTACTATTCTGATATACTGATGATATACTCCCTTTTATCTTTGGAAACAGCCTTGGCGAAGTAGTCTCTATAGCACCACAGCTACAGGGTCTCTACATGCAGGTTTGTTGCCCGTGGAGCAGCTTCGAAAAACCGCGGGTCAGTATTGAATTCTAATGTATTGTGGTGCATCATGTGGCTGCAGCCTAAACATGCCAGCAGAAGAACCTGTGACCCTGAAAAAAATGGGGTTTAGGGTTAGGCATCCGCTTTCTTGAGAAACACCAGTATATAGATATAATCACCAGAAGTCTTATGCGGCAAGCCTGACTGACCGCAAGTGCTTCAGGTGAAAGTTTACCCAATTGCCAGAGAGCCATGATTCAACCAATTGAAACACAATGAGCTTCAAATCAACAACTCCAGAAGTACAAGCAGCTCGTAGATTCCCACGGTGACGTTGCCCAAGTAGTGCCGTCCAAGGCCATAAGCGTTCTCGGAGAGATAGACATTGTAGCGCACAACCTCAGTGCAACACAGTGCAATACAGTAATGAGCATTCTTCCGAGTCATCCTGCCAGAGCAGTACACTGCCACTCCTTGCATATTGGGAGCCTTACTGTCACTTGTGAACAGTCCCTGTGTCAAAAAGTTTGCAGCGCGACAGTGGCCTGCAGGAAGCTAGAAAGCAGACGGGCACAACCCACGAATGCAAAGGCCCGGCACTCCTATGTCGGAGGTAGCCGGCCTCCTCCCAAACACATGCCACCAAACGCGCCTTTACCTGCAAAATCTGCAGGGAACTATAGGTTCTAATGTGGCTACAGCTTACATGCTCTTCTAGCCTGCGAAGTCAACCCCAAACTCCAAGGCAAAACCACACACCAAGAACTAAAAGTGCTCAACCCCGGAACTGCCCTCTTAGTCCAAAGCTTAAATATGACCAGCAGCGTGCAGCTCGTCCGAAGGTGGGTCCCAGGTCAGATTTCCGGCAAGCTCGCCTCGATCCACCTCAGCGAACGTCGCTCCATCTCAAAAATTTACGACTTCGGATGGAGATGGACTTGCGCCGAACCCGTAGCCTTCCACGCAAACCCACAGGGCCGATGGCACATTTTGAAAGCAGGGCGCGTAGATAAAAATGAAACCTGAATCTAAAATTATGGGCCACCATTTGGCAGAAACTATCATTTCAGGCCTGGGCTCTGAACTCTAAATCCTGAAGCCTCCGCACAATGTTGAGCCTAGCCGCGTCAATGTCCAGGAAGTCGAGATTCCGGGCCAGGGCACTGGTATCGAAGAGGCTGTGTGCAGTTGGCGTCGTCTGCTCTACCAGCGTAGACCTATCACAGGATTAAACATCATAAGTGGGTCAATTATGGCTCAGGCCTGTAGGGATAAGGCTTTGGAGTGCAGGGCACTGCAATGGGATCATCCCCTTATGGCTTGACCCTAGACCCTAAACGCCTCAATCAATCTCAACTTCTTTAGCAGGGTCACTTGGTGTAGACCACGAACCGAGTGTAGGCGTTGCGAGGTGTTTCTGGTGGCGTCAGCAACATATTCGTCCCGTAAGGAACATCCTGGAGGCCAGTAACGCAGGGAGGCTACGTCAACATGAGGCTTCCCGAAAAGAGAATCTTTGGGGTAAATAGGGTCATCTAGGGTTGTTTAGGGTTTATAGTCTTCCAAAATAGTAATTAGGGGTATTTCTGGGGGGCGTCCCCATAACACAGGTTACATTTTGTCTATGTTGGGTTCCCCTTATTTTGGCAACCTGCCAGTTTCCGAGCATGTCGCCCCCGCACGTGCCCCAAATTGTGTAATCCTCCTTGTGCAGAACGCCAATGTTTGGAAGCCCCCCCCATGTCTCTAGTTGGGGTTCCCCATGCCGCACGTGGAAACGGCATTTGCACCCTGTGAGGGCAGACATACCTTTGGAGCCAAGGATATCGAGGAACATATGAAATTTCGCTCTATATTTGCATGCCTCTCAGAACATGCCATGTCCGACTTTGCGAAACTGTATGCTGGGGTTTTCGAATGCTATTTCTGCCTCAGGCTGGGCTACGAATCCCTCCTTCTGCAAGTAGCAACCAAGCGCGTGAGATGCGGTTCTCATGAACAGAATAATGGGTGTGTGTGGACTGCTTCGTAGAATGGCGGGAAGTCTGCGAAAATGGCGGGGATCTTTAGATCTGAAGTGTTGCAGTTAAGCAAGGACTCCAAACACTTGTATGCTCTTGGAGCACATCCATCATGCTTGAAAACTGCTACCTTGGGAACCCTCTTCCAAGGCAAGGTCTGCCCCTTCCCAGAACCTGGGAACTTGATGTCTTGGAATGGCTCTTATGAGGATGCTCCTGTTCGATCTGCGACCGGTTGGTCCCGATATCATCCAGGGAAAGGTAGACCACGTAGGACAAAACCTGGGATGTGCGTCTCAATCATGTTCTTCCCTAAGCAGGAAACCCTCCAAAAGGCTGAAATGACAATCCTGACCCCACCGCTGGGCTGATGAGAAGGTCGGGGCCCAATCCCTTAAAAGCTCAACCCTAAACCGGATCATGCGAGCAACGCGGTCGTAGTCGGAACCTGGGGCATTCCAGCTGACCACCCCGCCGAGGTCCTCGCTGAGAGTTGAAAATGTTCTTGAAATAGAACCCATCTACTGAGGAAGGCTTTAGGGGTGTAGGGGGTTGAGGGTTTATAGGGCTTAGGGACGACTAAATGGAGTTTCCCTGATTTGGCTTTTGGGCTCAGACAGTTTTGGTCACGGCTATTGGGATGAAATGTAGACCCTGAACCCAAAACCCAAAACTCTTACTTTCCGACAATGCTAGGGATTCAGGAGGAGCCTTCAAATATTCGTAGGCATTCGGGATAGCTTGTTTAGGCATTTGCTAGGATTGAAGCCTGTGAGGCTATGAAGGCATGGCTGCTGGATCGCAGTTAAGCAGTGTCCATTGTCTTTCGTTCTAGCTACGCCTACGCCAAACCTGCTTCACACTTCCTAGTATCCATAGCTACAAATCCTGCATGACCTCAGCATACAAGAAATCATCCTTCCCGTTGTATCAAGTACTTAGCGCCACGTGAAGTTAGACACTGCGCTCACCCTAGACTATTTTCTTTCAATTCTAAGATGCTGGTACCTTTAAGCTGGGCACTCAGCTGCAGGGAGCATACTCACAAGGGCTGCAGGAGCTTGCTGACTGACAAGGGCTCCCGCAAGGACCAAAGCCGATTCCCAAGATTGCTTTAAGAAACCTAGCTCTGACGCTTGCAGTCTGGCAGTTCGGGGTTAGGGTTTAAGGGTAAAGGGTTTAGGGTGTAAGCGTTTCAGAGTGAAGGGTCTAGGGTTCGAGGGCTTAGGGTTTCAAACCGTATAAACCCAAAAACCCTGAGCTGCAAACCGGAAGTCCCAACCGCCAGAACCAGAACCCCAATTCCAAGGATCTAAACCCTTAAAAGGGAAACTCTCTATGAGAACGTGTGCACATCAACCTTCCCCAAGATGTCCTCAAGGTCCAAATCTTTGCCAACGAAATCCACGTTGGAGACGCTGGCGTTGGCGTCGTGGACGACCAGATACTGCGGAGTCGTCTGCCTGCAGTTTACTAGTTTGCTGCTAAAGAAACTTAAGCTGAGTTCCTAGAATACAGGCCTTAGGGTTGAGTTGCCAGTTTAGGGTTCAGGGCTTGGTAAGCTAGCGGTGCGCATGATAATGGGAGGTTCTGATCATAAGCCCCCCCAACCCCAACAAGTAGAGGGGTCAGAATAATGGCGGTCCCAAAGAAGTTCGGGAAAAGTTGTTTGGGGGGCCCGGACCAATCCCGAACCTTGAGCCTGTAAATAAAATTAAAAGCCCGAACCTAGCTCTGAACCTGTAACCTTGACTCCCAAACCTGAAACCTTAAAACCTAGACCCAAATCTTAATTAATTGACTAATTAATCCTTAAACCCTATGCTCTAAACCCTGGACCTTAAGCCAGCATGCACTATTCCGTTCCTATGTTGTTATTAATCCGTTCAGCTCGGATTTAGCTCTAATACGACCCCCTTTAGTAATCCGAAGTCCGCATTAGCGAATCAACTTGAAAATCAAAAGGACAATCGAATGGAATATGAAATGGTATCTGGGGGTATATGAGGGTTGTCCGACAACCCTTGTCTACAAGTTTAGAGCAACGAAAACCAAGTATAACATAATCTGTCAAAAACCGTGCGCACGCAAGCTCCGCGCAAGGTTGGCGCAAGGGTTCGAAAACGCTCATGGTAGTAGTTTTAGTGCGATGAGCCTTCGCGAAAACCATTGTGAGCCAAAGTGTGCGCGCGCAAGCTCCGCGCAAG